CTCTGGACATGTCCAAACCACTGTCCCTCCTCTGGACATGTCCAAACCATCTCAGAGTGTCCTCTCTAACTTTATCTCCCAGTTGTTCAACCTGTGCTGTACCTCTGATGATCTCATTCCTGATCTTCTCCATCCTTGTCTCTCCTAAGAAGAACCTCAACATCTTCATTTCTGCCACTTCCAGTTCTGTCTCCTGTCTTTTTGTCCATGTCTCTGTCTCCAGACCATACAACATAGCTGGTCTCACCACTGTCTTGTAAACTTTTCCTTTGGCCTTTGCTGACACCCTTTTGTCACAAATCACTCCTGAAACTTTTTTCCATCACTCCATCCTGCCTGGACTCTCTTCTTCTGGACTGTTACTGTATAATAGTTTGTTGTCGGGGTTATAATGTGCCAGATGTGACACTCTTGTTGGTAGTATCTATCTAAACCTTGTCTCTAGCTCTAGGTACCCTCAGGATGTTTGTATTGTGATTCAGATCTTGTTGTTCAGACTCTAACCCCCCTCCCCTTCCCCACCTGTTCTCTGTGCGTTTTAAGGTGGTGGTTCCTACTCGTGTTGGACAGGTTTACGTGTACGACACGGGGAAAACGGACCAGGACGAGTACGACGTCCTGCCTAGACATCAACCTCCAGCACAACAGGACATTTATGATGTGCCTCCTACCCGCCAGCAGTACAGCACTCAGGTCAGACACCTTCCTCTTTGGGGCATACTGCAAAGAAAGATGAACATAGCTGGGCTTTCTTCCCAGATTTGTGTTTGTCAAGTTTAATGTGTGTAAAAAGCTTGTTCCTTTATTCTTCTTTGTGTTAAGGTGTATGACACTCCTCCCATGGTAGTAAAGGGGCCCTCTAGTGGTCAAGACATATATGACACCCCAGTGAGCTCAGACAAGAACCCCCAGCAGACAGTAAGGCTTTGGAAGTTCTTGTTTGATCAAATCTTTGTTTTTACTGGTTGAAATTGGAAGATACTTTGTGTACGTGTGGACAGAACCTCTGCTCTCTTCTTTAGGTTTATGACTTCCCCCCATCAGTGAGTAAAGACGTTACTGACGCCCACCCAGTCAGGGAGGAGACCTACGACGTGCCACCCCACTTTGCTAAACTGAAGCTCCACCCACCTGTTACCTCTGGCCATTACCTGCACAACAACATCAGCGACGACGACGAGCCGCCAATCCCAGAGGACGTATATGATGTCCCACCCCCCATCTTGACTGACAAGCATTACCTCAGAGACAGGGGCACAGTCAGCCAGCCCCCCCAGGAGATCTATGACATCCCAGCAGTTCTGCGTGCCGGAGATGTCCCTGTCCAAGACGTTTACGACTTCCCACGCGAACGGGAGGACAGAGGGGAGAGGGGAGACCAGTATATCTACGATGTCCCCCCACAGGTAGGACAGTTGGGGGACCGCTTCCACGTTTGGGGTGAAACTTTTCCATTTTTCTTTATATTTGTGCATACACAACAGAAGGTCTGGTTTCTCTGTGGTTCCACTTCTCCTGGTTAATGCGGAGGTTGTTAGAAATTAGAATCCCACGGATCCGTGGCGGCTCGGGACGGGTTGGCCGCTCAGACCTGTGAGAAAGAAGCAGAAATTTTGTAGCAGTCTCACTGAAAGTTACGTCTCAGTAACCAGCAAGCTGTGTGTCCACAATCTGCATGGATAGTTTTTAAAATCACGAGTCCCTGTCGTACCTACCTGGGCTTGGCAGCCACCCCTGGTTTATGTTTTATTCTACTCAAGTACGCTTTAGGAATGAAGAACATTTTTAGGTAATTATCAATCATTTATATGCGTATCTCATTTCAGAGCACTGTGCAAAGACATTCACGTTCTAAAACCACGTTTAGTAAAATCTTCTATCTAAGGAAGCCGGCACAATGTGTTGAATCTTAACCTCTAATGCTTCTAGCCAGGACAGGACAGTTCTTTTTTTTTTTCTGAGAATCACAGCGTCACACTGAGACAGACCTTCTGACCCTCTTGGTATGATTTAAGGATTAGAATGGACAGAGGTTGCATGGGAGGTTCAGTATATTTAATAACCTCCCTCTTCATTTTATAATTTATAATGCGTTTGCACTGAATAGATTTCATTTTTAATTGTTAAAGTATTAACCTGTGGGTGGGGTTATCACTTGTCTGTCATTTGTGGAAAAATAGATTTATGGTTTATTTATCCTTTCCTGAACATCCTCAGTTTAGTTGTTGGGGGAGATCCAATCTGAAATATGCCAGCGTGTCATGTTTTATCAACCGTTTCACCACCAACGTGTTTCAGTAAAAGCATGAAACCAGTTTTCGGATGTACAGCTACAACTCAGTAACATTTGGAGCCAACCCAGTTTAAGATGGCTTCCACAGCTAAATTACTGAAGCCAACTCAAAGAATGCCATGTATGATATAATATACATGCTAGCAGGTGACATGCATGCCTTCAGCTGTGATTGGGTCCAGTACTTTTGTGAAAATAAAGTAATCTGGGACCGTTGCTGAGTTTTTTCAGTGAAAATGAGAACGATTGTGAAGCAGATGTTGTTGTTTGGTTCACAGGTTGTTCGTGATGCCCAGTCAGCCAGCGAGGAGCTGACCGTGTCCTTCAAACGCCTGTCGGCTTCAAGCACAGGAAGCTCACGGAGCAACCACTCGTCTTCATCATTAGACATGGTCCCTGTCCGCGATACCCCCTCATTTCCTGGTCCTGGCCCCAGTTCTGGGAAACCCCTGGTCTTGGACCTTGATCAGGCCATGGAGCGTCTTACTCACCTGCAGCAGGCTGTTGAGTCCAGCGTTTCCTTCATGATGTCCTTCATCACAGGAAGCTGGAGGAGCCCCGCTCAGCTTGAGGGGAACCTCCCTGCCATTCGTCAGGCTGCTGACCGGGTGCGCGCCACTGTCCGAGACTTCCTGGAGTTTGCGCGTGGCGCGGTTGCCAACGCTGCCCAGGCCACCGATCGTTTGCTGCAGACCAAACTGGGTCGTCAAGTGGGGAAGATGGAGGAGGTCTTCCAGAGTTTGATCAGGCACAGTCAGAGCTTAGACAGCATGTCGTGGTCACACACGGCACTCTCAACTCCAACACCAGGAGGCGACGACTTGGATCGACTGATCATGACAGCGAGAGGCATCCCTGATGACGCCAAGCAGCTGGCGTCTTTTCTCCATGGCAACGCCTCGCTGCTGTTTAAAAGGACAAGCCGGCAGCAGCAGCAGCAGCAGCTGCCTCTTCCTCCAATCCCAGCGGAGATCAGTGGTCAGGTGACCGGCTCGGGAAGTGGAACCTACCAGGGAGGGGAGAAAGTCCACATCCAGTCACGACCCCTCCCTTCTCCTCCAAAGTTCACGGCTGCAGATGAGGAAGAAGGCGTGGAGAGGCCATACGAGGCCTCAGAGGAAGGCTGGATGGAGGACTATGACTACGTCCATTTACAGGTACGCACACACGGGATTTAAACCTGCTGGTAGCACCTCGGACCTCAGCGGTGGGTTCTGCTGTCAATCACAGTTAATTAAATCACCAGCTGTTCACTTGGAGCCGTTAAAGTGCTTCTACGAACAGAAGTTCCTGCTTTGTCTGGAAGTGGATTCAGATCAACTCTAGAGGAGAAATTTAAATTCAGTTGATTTTGTTTCTGTAGCTCCAAGACACAACATGAGTCGTCCCAGTTCACTGAACAGAAACATTCACAGACGTTATGAAAGACAATTAATAAAGTTCTCTGTGAGGAAGCAGCAGATTGAGTTGAAACTTCATGACAGTCTCTCATCCTGAGCAAGAACAGAGGAGACAGTGGGAAGAAAAACTTCCTTTAACAGGAAGAAACGTCCAGAACCAGGAACAGGACGAGTGGACATCTGCTTCAACTGGCTGGTCTGAGAGGACAGGAAGTAGAAACAGACACAGACTGACAGGTCCAGGTGTACTTCCTATAGTCCAGGTGTACTTTATATAGTCCAGGTGTACTTTCTATAGTTCAGGTGTACTTTCTATAGTCCAGGTGTACTTTCTATGGTCCAGGTGTACTTTCTATAGTTCAGGTGTACTTTCTATGGTCCAGGTGTACTTTCTATAGTCCAGGTGTACTTTATATGGTCCAGGTGTGCTTTCTATGGTCCAGGTGTACTTTCTATAGTC